GAAAGAATGGAGGAGATGCTATCTTTCTGGAGCCTTTGTGCTGTTTGGATACAATCATCACAAACAGACGGGGACAAAGAGAAGAGAAAAGTGAAATGGAGAAAGGAGGGCTGGAGATAAAGAGCATAGGTGGAAATTTAAAGAGCGAAACGGAGACGGAGAGAGCGAGTCAGAGAGAGAAAATAATCAAAAGCAGCTCAAAGGAAGGGTAGGAAGGCGAGAGACGACCGTTACAGCTCAATTAATGCCGAGACATGAGATGGCCCTGCCACTGATAATGACAGAGCACGTGTTGGAGAAAAGGAGGGAGAGAGCAGGGGGAGGCTACCGGCAGTGATCTCAACAGGATGTTGGGAGTAAGTTGGAGGGGGGGGAGGCAAAGGAGGTGGAGAGGAAATAAGAGCAGATACTGTTAAATCTATTCATGATTCATTATTTCTTGCAGCAGCTCAAAGCTCCCCTCCCTCCCTTGATGTCTTTCTCTGTACGTCTTCCTATCTTTCAGCTTCTTCCCCCCTTTTTTCTTTTTTCCTCTCTACCACTTTTCTTTTCTTGGCTCTCATTTTCATCTCCAGCTCTTTTTTCCCCGCTTCATCTGTTCCATAAGGTCTTTTTCTGACACTTCTAAAGCTCCATCCTTCCTGTTTACCCTCTCCTCTTTCATCCGTTCAATTAATCTCTTTCTCCTATTTCCCTTCTCATCCCTGCTGTCTTTTATCAGTTCCTCTTCCACGGTTAACTATATTTTTCTCTACCATGCTCTTTCTTCCCCCTCTTCCTCTTATCAGAGTCTCTTTAAAATCACACTAACCTTCTTTTGTACACTTATTGTACTGGCCTCGCAGAAAACTCCATTCAGCTATGCAGCAAGCTGAACACCTCCACACAATAAATCCAGGACACCCAGTCGAACCTGAGTGTTTATGATGTGACAGGTGTGAAAGTGATGGACAGATACACAAAATCATAAATACACGGTGGACTCACTACTTGAAATACAAACAAACTGTCAGTGTTATACGTAAAACGTATTTAATGCCTTTTCATTAAATGTATTTGCAACACTAACTTGACGTCAATTAAACCCAATGTTTTTGACCAACTTTGAGAAATTGGCAATAAAATCCAGAAAAATATGGGGATCTGTTGATTTTGTGTGAATTTTGAGGACTTGTGAAAAAAATGGAGGGACTAATTGATGTAATCTGGAGTCTATAGGGCCAAATAAAAAGCTTCGGCGGGCCAGATTTAGCCCCCGGGCCTTGAGTTTAGGGGATTCAGTTAAACATGTGACCTGTGTCTTTATTTAGTCAATGTATCTGAATTATCAAACATACTAATTTGAATTGTGCAATTTAAATTGTAAACTAACACAAGTTATAGTCTGTGACCGATAAGTGAAACCGAGTTTGACATCCCTGCCTTTACATGATGACTTATTATTACAAACATAAACCACTCGAACTGCAATAATAACAAATATATGCTTCTAGTAAAATATCCTGTTCACAGCCTTTAGGACAGCAGGATTGCATGAGATGGTGAACACATTGCATGGTATCCATATCCAACCTAGAAAATATTTAAGTTAAATTCTGCACCTATATATATATATATATATATATATATATATATATATATATATATATATATATGTACTGAATATAGCGGAGTATCTTGAGGATACCCCGTTATATTCTGACATAACTCCTCTACCTTTTCTTTCGATCTCATATTTCCCCTTGTGACTCTTCTTCTATCCTTCCTCACTAACCACTGACGTCAATATACTCTGGAGATTACATCTCTCTCTCTCTCTCGCTCTCTCTCTCATTTGAACTCTCATTTGCCTGAATGCAACTCTTTGGTCTGCTGTCATTTCCACCATCTTCATTTTTCCTCCTTCTGTTCCCTCCATTTTCCACACTCACCCCTTACTTGGCCTTCCTGCCTCTGTCATCCTCCCCGCTCTCCCTCTCTAAGAGGTAAAGCCAACACCGCTGTACATTTCCTCTTTTTGGCGACAGGAGCTGACAGGCCAGCTCTCCCTGGCTGTTTTGCCAACCATCCGACTTCCTCCCTCTGTGTCTTTTAATCCCTTCGCTTCCTGCAGAGTCGGTTTCTCTTCTGACTAAAGTACAACCCTGACATTATGTTTGGTAACAAAGCAGCCATTCAAACATGAAGTCAAGGCTTCACACAGTCCATCCTTGGATTTGGGGCTGAATTTTATATTCTAAAGAAGAAACATTTGATTATATTTCAGTTTTTAAAATCACAGTAAATATCAATATAGTATCTTGAGATGGATTATTCCTCTTTATCACTGGCTGAAAATATGTTTTCATATGTTCTCTGTTATTTTTTTAAACATCATACAGACATTTAATTACAACAACACATTTTCTTAGCTAGAAATGAAAGGGACATAATCAGTCTTCTTAGAGTTTGTGTTGCAGACGATGCTGATAGATAAATAAGGATTCCTTACTATCAGCAGGCAGCACTCTCCTGCTATTTCCTATCTCAGAATGTATGTTGGTATATTAACCCACTACATAGGTTTAAATATGAAAATAATTTTATTTTGTGGAATATCAAGTCCTGTCATGTCTATTAAGTATGTGTATTACATTAAAAATCTTTATTTCCTGTTTTCAAATTTAATCACACACATGAATTATCCATTTTCAAACATAAAGGGTCCTAAGAAATAACCCAAACTGTAAACATCCTCTCAAAACTAATGAAGAAATAGTTTTGCTAATAAATGTGCAGATGTCGCTAGGCAAGGACACCAAGTCAAAAAAAACAAAAAAAAAACACACTTGTATGCATTTTAGATCCACACACAAAACAAGCATGGTCTATAGGCACCCTGCAAATAGCAAACTTAATACAGAAAGTCCTCTGCAAATATTGCAGCTCACTGTTTACCACAATGTACTACATGGCTTGCATCTCAAGTGTTTATCACTCTTTCAAAGCATAAGCATGGAGTCATTGTTAAAAAAAATGTATTCTGAACTGATTAAATTCCCACCAGATGACTTTTGCTGTAGATGTCTTTCCCCATCACCTGTCCTAGAAATAATGAATTTGAACAAAACCAGGAGATACATCTATCAATCTTTTCAGCACACCTTATTTAAAGGTTTACCAAGCACAACTTAGAAAACAAGCTGTAATGACAAAAATATACTATGTATGTAGGAGTCGACGGCGGGTTTCAGTTTTTTTTTTTAAGTGTTTGATTAGTTTTGGACAGATGCCTCACCTTAAACTCAAATCACCAGCAGAGCAACACAAAACTCCATGCACCCAGCCTGAACTCTGTGTTTGTAAATCCGATGTTTGATATCTCTTTGCTATAATTACCTCGATAGCTAAATGACGTGATAATTATGAGGTGAAAGTGCAGAGCACAGAGCCTTTTATTGGAAGGTGTCTCAGAGACGGTTTCAAACAATGAGCTGCTTTCTGAAGGTGTACGCCAAGAGCTCATTGTAAAAGTGAAAAATAAACCCCTTCTTGTCTTGTCCTCTGTGACAGTGCCTGGCTCCGCCACAGAGAGCCAGTTAGCATGACAGATAGATAGATAGATATAGAGAGGGAGGGAGGACGACACAGGCAGTCACCTTAAAGGAAATGCCATTCAACTGGATAATGATTCTGTCTATCTGCAGGAAGGTCTATCAACTAGAACAGGTTTCGCGTCTGCCTTTTTGTCCTTCTACGTCGACATTTATCTGACTGTCTGCCTGTCGCTCTCTGTATGCAATTTGACTGTCTACTTCTCCTGTAGCATGACCCAGACAGCAATTAGTATGGGGATTGACAAGCAGCTGCAGGCACCTGAGAGCACACACTGCTCATGAGACAAGTGTCTTCATTCAAGACTACCAGATCTCAGCAAGGACAAGTGGAAACGTTACACAATTCACGATGACCTTCCCTCGCAGGCTTCAGCTGCACATCTGGTCTTTTGCATGAATCGAGGAGTGTTATTAACTGCATTATCCTGTAGGTCAGAGGTTCTTACACATTTGAGACAAAATACCAACTCGGTAAACGCCTTCAAGTTTTCCAAAAACCACTGGGAAAACAAGCATCTTGAAATATATATTTATATATTTCATTTGTTTTCATGAGCTGGAATTTTGAGGGATAAAGTAGCGAAACCTAAACATGAAGTCTGCCTGAAGTCGGAAGTCAAACTGGGGGTCTTGAGAGTCTTAGACTGAAGTTACAAAGATTTCAGAGCTAACTTAGAGTCACTCTGAAGAAACAAGAGTCAATTTAAACTTAAATGAAAGTAAGCTCAAAAGTGTAAACTGTTTTGGTAAATTGTATGTTGTGTTCTGAGACGTTGTAATGTATCGAAACGGCAGTGAAGGTAACATGACCAACTATGCAGATGGGTCATGTTTAGTGTTTCTCAATAGCAAGTGTGACTGAAAGGCATTGATTAGCCTGGGACATTCATGGACTGTCAGCCATTGACGTTCTGAAATAATGACCACTCAATATATATTTATTCTCAAATATTTGCCAATTAATCCCATCACATTTAGAACTGCCTTTAAATTTAGTCGATGTTTATCATGTATATGTTGGATCTGCCATTGTGAAGTAACCCATAAGGAAAATAATTACAATATTACAACATTGTCATGTAATTATTGCTTTGCTACTATCAGAGCCTCACACTAGCTCATATGTAGCCATTACAATTTGCATTTCATGTTCCTTCTTTGGACTTATAGTGGGGCTTACAATTCAGATTCACTTTTTTAACACACATATTAAAGCATGAAACCTCACATGCACAAATGTCTCTCATGAGCATTGGCTGTGGTATTGCACCCCTTCTCTTGTTCAATGAAAGCTGCATCTACACAAGGCCAGAGTTGTACTAACAACCCCTAAACACATCCCCTCCGAGTAATCCAGCAACAACACAAAACATATCAAAACATGGTAAACACAATTTTTCCTACCTGTTTGTGCATCTCAATGTTGAGACCATAGGACATTTCGTAGTACTGCAGAGATAAAAAAAAAAAGACAAACGACAGAGGATTTAGTTCATGACACATTTTGACATTCAATTCTTCAAAATGTCTCCAGTTGAGCATCTGTTGCTCAACATAGCCACATATGTTGCTATTTTTCTCTGTGGTTTCCATGCAAGCACAAATAATAAAATGAAAAAGGTTTCAGTTGCACAGACAGAGTGTGTGTTGAGGACAACAAGTGTGTGTGACACAGTAATGAGGCATTGACGTCTAGGATAAGTAATGCAGCATCACTGTCTCTGCGCGTGTGTGTGTTTATGCCGGGCAATTTTATCATTTCACTAGGCCTATGCACAACTGCCAAATGAGCATAACTGTGTGTATATTCGCTATATGCTCCTTTTCCTGCATGGATGTAGGTGTGCCGATGAATAACGATGCACGGTGTCAGAATAACGAGACTCTGTGGATGCTTGCAGCAGTATGGTGTCCTTGTATCTATGTGTGTATAAATCACCAAAACTTATTTCACACCAACAACAGTCAGAGCGTAGACGTGCACGGCACTGCAAAGGGAAAATGCATCTGAAAGACAATCTGAATGGAAAGATATTATGCTGGTCAAAAAACAACAGAAAGCTTATACTATAATTAAGTTTCAGTGAAGTCCACAGACTGCACATGCTTGAAAAGAAATATTTTATTGAGAAATCTGCCGCCTCTCATTGCTTCTGCTTTTCTTTTGTTTTTTTTTATCTTTTTTTTTTCAAAGTACTAAACTGTCTGAGAAATAAATAAAGCTTCAAACTCTAAAACTGAAATACTCAAGAGCCAATCTGAAAATCAAAATTAAACCCAGATCTTATGTCGTATTAAGGTCAGTAACAAAAAAAAAAAATCTAATTCTCACATCAGAATATCTGTCTGTGTGTTTCCTGACACCAGTACAGTTGTGCGTTTGTCTCTTCCAGGAAAGGCACATGTGCCCTTCCTGAATATGTGTCTCTCTCTCTCCACTGTGTGTGTTTCTTTGTGTACATCAGTAATATTCTTGGAGGTAAGCAGAATACGGACAGTGGGAATCCGTCGTGGTGACAACGGCATCCTCCGCCACAGGATGGCCAACGCTCTGACTGATGAGAGTGAGACAGGGCACTTCCTCCCTCTCTGTTTTCTCCTGCTCATTTTCACTCAAGCCCTCTCTTCTCTCCATTTATTCCTCGCCTGATTCAGTCCCTCCCTCACACTCCAATCTTTATCTTTCAGGCGGCTGACAGGCCGCCTGTCCCCCTTTCTCCCCTTTGTTTTTTTTATTTTTTTTTCATTCCTTCTTCGTTTTAGCCATCAGCTTTATCTTTCACTCCCAGGTTCAGGATAGTTTTTTTCTGTCTGGTTTCACTGACTTACAGTCATTCTGCATCTCAACTACTTCATAAGTACAGCCAAGGACGACACATGCAGACTATATACTGTGTAAGTTCTATATTAAATACAATAAACTGCTTCTGCACACAACACGTTCTACAATTAATCTGCATATAAAGCATAGAAGAGGATGAATACAGGTCAGAACTCAGGGCAGATTTTATGTGTTGCATCTCCGGTTTTCTCCTCAGGCTGTGACATGCTCCAACATATTTTACTGCTTCACTGCCAAAGTCAGTTTTCCCTCAAGTATATATTAAAATGGAGTAAGGGAGTGTGTGGAATGCCTGGTATTTTACTGCTAACTGTAAAAGACAAAAAAGAAAAAGAAACACAGAAAGCAACCCGGATTTAATTAAGTTAATTAGAAAACGTTGCTTTGATTGAATTGGTTCATCTGGCACCAAGTTAGTCAACCCTGACTGATGCAGTGAACGTAGTCCAGTTCTATAAACACATCCTGTATTTTTATTTATTTATTTTTGCTTCAAGTGGTCAAATTATCAGTAAATATTAAACAAATAAACTGATGAAGGAAATTAGGTTTAGATTTTATCACTACATTATTAAAACGAGGAAGAATAGTGGTGAACCATCTAATCTGCAGAAGAAATGTAGTTGACAACCGTCTTCAGTCCAACTGTAATCGTTTATTTAGGTTTATTTTTACTTCTCTATGTGATTTTTGTCCATAGTTCTTCAAAACGTTGCACATTTCCTTGGAAGTATAGTAGAAGCAAAATGAAAAAACAAGGGTTTTTTTAATAATAGTTCTCCAGTCACCTAATACCACAACAAATGAAACTGCACAACATACTGTACTCCTAAATACACAATCACACAAGTCAATATTTGGATAAAGTTGCTGTTTAATTATTTACAAAAGGGATATTTATTTATTGCATCGTTAATTCACAAATGCATTCCTTCCAAAAATGGCTTTTAATTCCTTTGTGACCGTTTACACAGAGATCTTCCTACACTTTACCAGCTTTGACATTTAGTTCTGATCCCAATTTCTCCTTTAAGTATCTTTCATTTGCCTTTTGGGACGTTGGAAATATGCCCATTGGATGTAAAGTCTTGAAATACTAAGAAATAATCCTCAAATACAGCAAACTATTCACTAACCCTCTTTACTAATTTATGCCACTTACAAATGAGTGTTTTTGAGTGGCAGAAGGATTTTATGGTTGAAGAACCATCTGTGATTGTTTTGTTTTGGGGAGTCCAAAATGATAAAAGTAGTAAAAAAAAATAGTGGATCAGGAAGAACTGGAGCTCACATTCACATATAAATTGACCATTAGTCAAACCACATTGTAATCTTACTGAGAATAAATTGCAGGTTCTATCAAACAGAATTAACAAAAAGTATTGAACGGATTCTCTTATTTCCATGAGACATGGGAGAGGAGGATAGATTTTGTTATGATGTTAAGTTATTATCCACGAGGTCACAACAAACCTGAACACTTTGAATGTCAAAAACTCTTTGAGGGCCAGATTAAAAAAAAAAAAAAAAGAAATCACTCAGAAGCAAATTTTTAAACATTTAGCCCAATTGACAGTTTATGCAATTAAAAAAATAAACTGGATTTTGATACAGATGTTATAGAGCTGTTTGAAGTTTGGAAATCACATTTCATTAGCCAACATATCAAGTAGGAAAGACGTAATGAAGCATTGTTGTTTACGCTGTGCATCTTTAACCAGCAAAGGAAACACAGCTGTGTGACTGGATCAATTAGACAGTCTGGACTGAAAACTGCTTCTGACTGGGAAGGAAAACCACATCGCAGGTTCTTTTAATCTGCGACCCTGACTTTCACCATGTTATCTTCGTGCTTCATCGTGACCAAATGTCTATCGTTCCGAGCGTGCCGTCACATTTTCCGTTCCATTCTCATCCGCAGACTCTTCATTTTTCCTGCCTATTATCAGATTTTCAATGTTTTCTGCCTCCTCTCTTGATTCCATGTCTGATTTATCACCTTTTTTTGTTTTTTCTCATTGTTGCATCACTCTTGTCTCTTTCACTGTTATAGTCATTTCCACCAATCATTTAATTACTTAAAGTTCTTTTAGCTGTTTTGTCCTCTGCTCCAGTTTCCCGTTGAACATTTTCAATCCTTCTTCAGCACCTTGTCCACATGTTCTCATTTATTTCCAGTTCTCCTGACAAAGACTGGCAAAAATCTGTTCATGCTGACTGAAACGTATGTATTTGAGAAATCTCTTTCCCACTGAAACATTAATTCATGCTTTACATACAATGGAAAGAACACATGAGGTAAACTAGAGTAAACATACCTGAGAAGCCATCCCTCACTGACTTCTCATCTCTCCATCACTGCTTTTCTGCTCTTCTCATTTTAGATTAGTTTCTGTGTCTCTGCTTATTAATTCTCTGCAGTTTCTGCCATCAGCCTTATTCATCTTTCAGGAAGACTTACTCTTTCATTAAAACAGTGGGACTAGGTGCAAAAATGTAGCACTAGTAACTGAACACAACCATGCACTGCTAAGTTGAGCAGCTGTCCTCTTTAATGTAACAGTAAGGATATGCAGCAGTAATTAAGTAGTTCAAGGGACATTTTGGATTTTTGAAGTTAGAAAGAGTAATAGTTCCCACCTGTACTCGCAAGATGTCTTATTGCAGTGAGTCTTATTTGCTATATATTTGCAAATATCAACTACCTGCATTTTCACAAATTTTCCAGTTTTTCCAAGACAAACAAGCTCCTTGTTACCATTTGAAATTAAACTGGGAGAGGCTGATGGCTGCACCAATCTGCCCACTAACTGGTTCACCAAATTGAGCAGAATAATTTCCAAACACCACACCGTCTATGAAGCTGTTGCATAAGTGACATGCTTTCACAAAGCTCCACTCTTGAAGGGTAAAAGGTGGACTGATGGGCTGCCATAGATGGGGCAGTTCGACAGGCAGCAGTTTTAAGCAATGAGCATTAATGTGGAAATAATTTCACTGTAAAAATAGTGTTAAATTCCACAGTTTTGTGCAAGTGCACACTTTAAATATACACTGATGAACTGCTGTATTCCATAAAGACAAACATTTTCTCTTTAAATTGCTAAATCCATGTGAGGGCCACATGCTGGAGCAACAAGAAGGTCCTGGGTTCAAATCCTGGCCTGGAGTCTTTCTGCATGGAGCCTGCACGGTCTCTCATGCATGCATGGGAGAACACACTTCTTCCCATGGTGAAAGACGTGACTGCTAGTTTAATTTATCTCTCTAAATTGGCCTTAGGTGTGAGTACATGACTGTTTGTTCTTTGTCTTTGTGTTTCACTGTGATGGACTGGCATCTTTCTACTCCAGCTCAGGGAACTATGACTAATACTTTCACAGAAGTTCCTAACAAAAAGTTTAAACCATTTCTTTAAGGAGAAACAGAAGCAGCAAGAAGGTTTTGTCAACATAGGAACTATGTTGTATCATTTAGGGTAAACAGTAATGCATGAAATCGGGATAATCCAGATTCATTCACGAACAAAGTTTTATGGAGACATAGACGTGGAAAAAAGTAGATAACTTGCTGAGTGATTCAGATTTTGTACTTTGAGGCATGAGGAGGTG